TGCTGGCACGGATGGGACCCCTTCCCGCTGCGCCCCCGCTGACCCCCACCTCCCCACAGGGACCTGGCCCCCCGGGACCCCTCGGGCACCTCGGACCCCTTCGCCCGGGTGTCGTGCTGCGGGCACACCTCGGAGACGGCCGTGAGTCGGGGTGATGGGTGCTGGGACCCAGAGGTTCGGGCAACTCGTTGCCCACCACCACAGGTCCCTGTGTGTCGTGTCCCCCACCCCCCCAACAGGTGATTAAGAAAACCCGTTTCCCGCACTGGGATGAGGTACTGGAGTTCGAGCTGGCGGAGGGTGACCTGGGGGAGGCCGTGGTGAGCGTGGAGGTGTGGGACTGGGACATGGTGGGCAAGAACGACTTCTTGGGACGGGTGAGGACCTCGGGGCGCAGTGGCACAGGGCAGGGTGCCGGGGGCACCTCCGCACCCACATTGCCGGACCCCGTGTGTGGGGTCCGGGTGGCCACGGGGATGTGCACCCGCTGAGCCCCGTGGGGGCAGTGCCACCTCCAGCCCCGCTGCGTGTACTGGGCTGCGCGAGGAGGTGTGGTGGGGGACGCGGGGTGTGACTCAGACCCTGCCTCTGGCCCTCCCCAGGTCGAATTCCCTCTGGATACCATCTGCACGGAGCCCACCAAGGGCTGGTTCCAGCTCCTGCCCTTCCCAAGTGCCACCGAGGACCACGGGTGAGCACCCTGCATGAGCAGGTCCCCAGGGGGGGCAGCACGGGGTGTCCCCCCGCTCCCCCCCCATTCCAGCCGGGAAGGAGCCGGGGGGAAAGGGGGCGGTGGGTGCAGGATGCACGGATGTCCCCGTGTCATTGCAGGGGACAGCTGGGCGCCCTGCGGCTGGCGGTGCGGCTGGTGGAGGACAGGGTCCTGCCCCACACCTACTACCAGCCCCTCATCCAACTCCTCACCGAGCCCATCCTCTGCCCAGGCCAGGTGGGTGCTGTGGGGTGGGGGGACCCTCGGGGGTGGCCAAGGACCACCCCAGCGTGGGGGCCTCGCCGTGCCCACCCTTGCCCTCCCCACAGCCCACCGCTGGCACGGCCCTGGCCATCCTGGAGGAGGTGACCTCAGGGGAGAGCCGGCAGGACGTGGCCACCAAGCTGGTGAAGATCTTCTTGGGGCAGGGGCTGGCTGTGCCCCTCCTGGACTATCTCACCACCCGCGAGCTGGCCCGGACCAGTAAGTGCCAGGGCCAGGGGGCACCACCTGCACACACACACACACACCCAGCCAGGAAACTGGGTTGCCAGGGTCCCCCCAAACCCTCATGGGGAGAAGAGTGGGGCCACCAAGAGGGACTCAGGAAAGGTGCCCCGTGTCCCTGGGGTTGGGCACACCAGAGACGGCTGGGGCATCATCCCATGGCCACCTCGCCATGGCCTCTGCGCTCTTCCAGCGGACCCCAACACCCTCTTCCGCTCCAACTCGCTGGCCTCCAAGTCCGTGGAGCAGTTCATGAAGGTGAGCGTGGGAGGGGACACCAGCTAGGTCCCCTCTGCGCCCTCCCGTGATAGCATCGGGGCATAGAGCTGGGTTGTGTCCCATCTGGGGACAGTCTGGGGACAAAGATGGAGACTTCCCATCCCTTGGAGGTGGTGGGGCTGCCCTACCTGCACGAGGTCCTGAAGCCCGTGGTGAACCGCATCTTCGAGGAGAAGAAGTACGTGGAGCTGGACCCCGGCAAGATGGAGCTAAGCCGCAGCAGGCAAGTGCTGGGGGATGGCTGGGGGGGACACAGTGCCTGTCACGTCCTGAGCCATCCCCATCCCGGTGTCACCTTCCGGGAGGGGTCACCCATTCCCATGGGTCACCTCGATGGCTTTTGGGCAACATGGGGTGGCCGATTCCTGGGCATGTGGTGCCCCTTGACCCAGTAGTGTCCCTGCAGGAGGATCTCCTTGAAGGGGTCCCTGTCGGAGGCACGGGTGCGGGAGAGCAGCCTGGAGCTGCTGAAGGGTTACCTGGGGGACATCGTCGACGCCATCGTGGGCTCGGTGGAGAAGTGTCCCCTCCTCATGAGGGTGGCCTTCAAGCAGCTCCGCAGGCGGGTGGAGGAGCGGTTCCCCTCGGCGCAGCACGAGGTGGGACAGGCGGCGGGGCCAGGGGTCCACACGCCACTGGGATCGCTGCCCCAAGCCCTGAGCTGTCCCTGTCCCCGTCCCCCGGCCAGGAGGTGCGGTACTTCTCCATCAGCGGGTTTCTTTTCCTCCGCTTCTTCGCCCCTGCTGTCCTCACCCCAAAGCTCTTCAGCCTCCGGGAGCAGCACGCTGACCCCCGCACCGGCCGCACGCTCCTGCTGCTCGCCAAGGTGTGGGGAACCCGGGGAGGGATGGGGACCTGGGGGAGGGATGGGGACCCCTGGGGAGGGATAGGAACCTTGGGAGGGACAGGGACCCTCGGGGAGGCATGGGGACCTTGGAGAAGGAGAGGAACCCTGGGGAGGGATGGGGACCCTTGGGGAGGGATGGAGACCTTGGGGAGGGATGGGGACCCTGGGAAGGGATGGGGACCTTGGGGAGGGATGGGGACCCCAGAGAGGGACTCTGCGGAGGGATGGAGGCCCCTGGGGAGGGATGAGGTGGCCAGGGAGGGATGGGCACCCTGGGAAGGGATGGGGACCTTGGGGACAGATGGGGACGGATGGGGACGGATGGGGAGCCCAGAAAGGAACGGGGACCCTGGGAAGGGATGGAGACCCTTGGGAATGGATGGGGACCTGGGGGAGGTATGGGGACCTCGGAGAGGGATGGGGACCCTGGGAAGGGATGGGGACCTTGGGAAATGATGGGGCACTGGGGAGGGATGGGGACCAATAGGAGAGATGGGGACCCTTGGGGAGGGATGGGGACCCCAGAGAAGTATGGGGACACTGGGGTGGGATGGGGACCACTGGGGGGGATGGAACCCTTGGGAAAAGATGGGGACCCTGGGAAGGGACAGGGACCTTGGGGAAGGACAGGGACCCTGGTGAAGTGCGGGGACCCTGGGGAGGGACAGGGGTCTCAAGGAGGGATGGGGAGCCCAGGGAGGGACAGGGACTCCAGAGAGGGACCCCAGAAAGGACAGAGACTTCAGGGGGGAATGCGGACCCCGTGGAGGGATGGGGACCCATAAGGGATGGGGATGCAAGAGAGGACTGGGGACCCCAGAAATGCAGGGAGACCCAGGGGAGGGATGGGGACGAAGAGGAGGGATGGGAATCCCGGGGAGGGATGGGGAACCTGGGGAGGGACGGGGACACTGAGGAGGGATTGGGACCCCCGGGAGGGATGGGAATCCCGGGAAGAGATGAGGAACCTGGGAAGGGACAGTGACACCAAGGAATGACGGGGACCCCAAGGAGGACAGAGCCATTCCAGCCCCCATGCCACATGCCACGGGCTGGCTCCTTCCCGTGCCACTCCAGGCCAGCCCTGCCCGTCACCGGGCCGTGCCACCACGCATCAGGCACAACACAGCAACCGGTTTGGGCCATCAGTTGGGTCCCATCACCCCCTGGGCTGCTCCGCTTCCCCACTTTCCACCCCGATTCCCGAGCCCCTGAGGTTTGGGGGAGCAGCCAGAGAGGGGGAGTGTGTGTGTCCCCCCCTGCAGCCCCCACGCCACGGGGGGTACGGCAG